GGACAAGTTATGGAATTCATCAAAAAACATTTAGATCAACTATTGTAACTTACAAAATCAAACAATTTGTCTATGATCTAAATTAAACTCATAAGAATAAGACAATTCATATCAAACAAATTTCATGTAATTAGTCTAACCATATAAACTAATACAAAACATGAAACTTTGACTATTATCTTTTAAATTGGATAAGCATGATCATTACCACATAAATAACAGATTTATAAATTCAAAAACAGTTTAGGGTAATGATCCTAGTCCAATTCCAGCCTTAGAACTCGAAAATCTGCATTCTGGAGCACCAACTCGTCGAGTGCATGAACTGACTCGGCAAGTTGGTCAGTTTTATGAGGGGAATCGGCGAGTTCCCCAGTGGACTCGGTGAGTCCACTGTCCAGAAAGCAGAAAAACGATTTTTTTAAGCTTTTGAAAGCAAGTAGCATCTAGTATATTGGAAAACAACCCTAGGCTCTGATACCACTGTTGAGTTTTGAACATTCTAACACTCCTATGGTGTATATGCAACCCTAGATGCTTTGGATCTATGTTTTCTCTAATATACATGCAAACTTTGTTTTTCCAAAGCATCATCCTAACTAGCATACAATGGAGTAGCTTTACTATAAAATTCTAGTTAGATGACATACCTTTTGTTGTAGCTGGAAACCTTGGACCTTTAAGAACTTAGCACCAATAGTATGAATGCCTCAAATGGAATCACAACACACCTAGGACAAAGGATAACTTGAGAGAAGGTGTCTTGCACTCAAATTCGGCTAGCTCTTCCAAAGAAAACATGTGTGTGTAGTAACCAATTTTGGATGCTAAGGGGTTTCTTATATAGTGTGGCAAGATTAGGGTTACACCATGTAAACCCTAATGTGCATGACCTTCCATATTCCTCATGCTCCATGGGTTTAAACCTCCATGGATCATCTATGGGTCACCACATGGGTTTAGCCCAACATAAATAACTATGGATCATAAGCCCACATTATAAGAATGAATGATTTACATAATCAATCCCCATATATTTAATTAGTCTCTTTTGATAACAGAATTAATTCCAAATTAATTATTGATCAATACTAATTAAATAATATGATTTCTTATTAATATATTAGAACTTATAATATATTTGTAAACCATAAATAACCTCTTCTCAAAAGTCCATCCTATCAAATTGTCCTGATGATATGCAACCCAAATGGACCATGCTACTATTGGGTCAAGTACATACCAATAATAGTTATGGCTTAGACACCTAATCCAACAGGAACTCCCACTCTCACTTTTGGTTTCCTTATTCATGTAAATTATACACAATACATGATCAAATAGATTGTTGAATGAAAGATTCTACCCTTGGACCACAACCAGACAAGGAATAGGAAAGAAGTCCAAATCAGTCATTTTAGGGCTATATGATCCTAACTGTTTGTAATTTTTAAAGCAAACATTTAGCAATTACTGTTATCAATACATATTCCCAATATAGCATAACATCCAATGCTTACTAGGCTACATGGCATCACATATTAGACCAATCTATCATGTAGTTCCTGAAAGTATCCCTAGCCTTATCCTAGCATGCAACATTCATATTATATAACATATCAACATGTATAGGTATTCTAGGAATCACTTACTTAAGCTCGGCCGATTTCACGCATCACACTCCTTTTTCTTTACAAGTGTCTTCTTAGAAATTTGTTTTCTTATAAAAGATTACTAACTCCTCAGTTTGAGTTCAAGCACCTGAGAGTGTGCACAAATCCCTCAAACCAAGGCTCTGATACCAACTTCTAACGTCCCAAAAATTATAAGATAAAAATTTCATTTTTAGTTCAACCATAAACACCATTTATCCTTTTCAATCGTTCAAAACTATATATAAGAGTAAAAATAGTTATCAGAGTACAATCCCAAAATCATAAAGTTGCAGAAATATGGGTGGATGTCCTGCGAACAAGTCTAGTCTTTCCCATTCGAAATGGAAGTACCTGAAACCATAACCATAAAATTGTAAGCACAAAGCGTAGTAAGTTTCCACAAAATACCACATACCATGCATATCCTTGGGCCTAGCCCTCACATTGGGCTCGACCCATAATAATGGGCCTAACCCTTCCTAACCACTAGGCCTAGTCCAACATAGAATGCAAAAGTCACAAAGATAGCTAGCATCCTACATATCATACATTAGGCCTAGCCCTTCCTGATCCATGGGCCTAACCCAACATACTAATAAGCCTAGCCCGTCATACAATGGGCCTAGCCCAACATACCATACAAGAGTCACCACGACAGCTAGCATATAACAGTTCCTAGTGGGCCGACATTGGTGCCTTAGACCCACAGGTATAGTGAGGAGACTCACCTGAATCGCATAGACAACTACAACTAACTGCTCTCCTATCAAAAGATGGGTGCTCGGCACCTCCTATCAATCCACACAAGGTAAAACCTAAGTCTACCTTCTAAAAAGTAAAGTTAAAGTCAACCCAACCCAAAAGTCAACGATCAAAGTCAAAGTCAACAACCCATAATGCCAACTACTCAGCCTCACGTCGTGACCAGCCCTTGGTCACGTCGTGAGAGATCACTCGGTTTGAATCCAACTCATCTCAACTGAACTCAACCAACTCAGACATGAAAAGTCACAGGAGCTGACCACAAGATGTGAGCACCCTTCTCTTACGTCGTGAGCCCCAACGAGCTTAACAGAAATGGGTACATTCAATCCTGACATCGTGAGACCTTAGTCTCACATCGTGAGCACAGTCTAAAGCCAAAAATACAACATTTAAGTCCTTAATCCGTTAAGCCTTTCACTCTAAATTTCCAGAAGGTATTATAACTCCATAATACACTTGAAAGTCGATGCTTTGAAGACATATATATCCAGTACATGTCTAGATCTCATTTGGGTCACTAATTGAAGAAAAGGTCATCCAACTTTCATGCAAGGTTCCAAAACCCAACCATTCACTAGATCTGAACTTCATGACACTCTTAAGGCCCTTATAACCCATAATGTTGCCAACTTTAAGGTTTCCATTCATTCAAACTTGCTCAACCAAGGAGGAAAGTGGGTAAAACTTAGATCTAGCCACAAATAACAATAAAGGAGGAAACTTTGACACTTACAAAGGTCCAAAAACAATGTAAGGTGATAATGATGATGATTCCTTGCAAGCCTCTTCAAAATATCATTTTCTTCTTCTTCTATTCTCCCTCAAACCAAGAATTGCTCCAAAATGGCCAAGAATCAAGCAAAGGATGAAGACTAGGGTTCTCTGAGGTGAAAGAAGGTTAGGAGGTTGATAATGAACCCTAAAATGGGTTTAGAGGTACTTAAATACAAATGAAACCTTAAAAGATCATGAGCTTGGGTTGCATCAGTTCTCACGTCGTGAGCCTCTATGTCTCACGTTGTGAGACCAGTCCCGAACAAAAGTTTTCATATTAGCCCATCTCACGTTGTGAGTCCATATGTCTCACGTCGTGAGGCTCATTTCCTTCCAAAATCCAACATTTTGACTCATTTAAACCCTAATTCGATTCATCGAGGAAAACGAGTATTACAATGTATTCACATATAAATTATAAATAACAATAATATGAATTAAATGAGTGCAAATAATGAATATATACAATAGTGAATTAGGGAATGAAGTGCTACATAGACAAAGGAAATAAATCTAGGCCTCTATGTCTCACGTTGTGAGACCAGTCCCGAACAAAAATTTTCATATTAGCCCATCTCACGTTGTGAGTCCATATGTCTCACGTCGCGAGGCTCATTTCCTTCCAAAATCCAACATTTTGACTCATTTAAACCCTAATCCGATTCATCGAGGAAAACGAGTATTATAATTTATTCACATATAAATTATAAATAACAATAATATGAATTAAATGAGTGCAAATAATGAATATATACAATAGTGAATTAGGGAATGAAGTGCTACATAGACAAAGGAAACAAATCTAACTACTCACAAGACGGATGTTATTTCCCAACTTATGAACAAACAAAGCACCATCAATAACTATCGACTTGGGAACGGCATTTTCATGTGTTTCTATGCAAAAACACAATCAAATCATTGTAATTATGCATCACCAAAAATTTGAAGGTGATAAAAAATCACATTACAAATATACAAATCTTAGACAAGTACTTAAAAACATAAGCTCCAAACCTTTAGCGAAAATAGGTCCCCTATGACTCTTTGTTAATAATAAATTATTATTGTGTGTGCGTGGTTAAATGGTATAATTGGGCAAAAAACATTGATACTCACGGGGGAATATATGTGGCTTGTGAAGCATTATATAACCTTATTAGATGAGAACGGTGAAACATTAACTCATAAATATTTTCTTTTAAAAAAACATACATTTTACTCGATAAAATTGTTTAGTTTGCCTTATGTTAGACCAAGCATTCTTGCAAGTCGGCGTTCATTTTTTTCAAGGTTATTACAGTCAATTGGTTGTGGTCCAAAAAAAGTGTTTTTTTTTTTTTTTTTTCCAAACGACAAACTATCTTACTCCTAATCTAATCCTAAACAACACTTATGTCTCCTAGCGAGACTTGAACCTATGATCTTTTATTTGAGAAAGTCAATCCTTACGGCCAAGCCAAAGACCCTTTTAAAAAATGGTTATAAGCTAAAATTCAGGTCAATTTAGTGAATAAGTCTTTAATGATTCAATTTTAAATCTATATGCACTTATTATTAATTATGTACATCAAAGTTACAGTTGTTGGTTAGACATCAAGTATTTGTCCAATTGATTTACAAAAAGCCATGATTTAATTAAAATATATAGGTAACTCAAATGTCGAGATTCAATGAAAGTTGGAACATGAAGATAAAGAAAACGTTGATTAATGGATCTAAAGCTTATACAATGATATATAATCATGTAAAACAAGGGAGAGAATTTGAAATACTAATTAAAACGAATTAATCTAGCATAGGATTCCCCTTACTAGTATTTATTAATGCCTTTTTTGTTTCTTCTTCACTAAACTAGATGGTTGGTAATGCTACTAACTAGTGGTTATTAAAAATTATTTCCTACATATTTACTAAAATAGAAAATCACAAATTTTGGCTTATGTATACGCATCCCGAATATGACCTCCACAGAAACTAAAACCTTGTCCATCGTCCTCAACATTACTTTTTCATGCAACTACAGTATTAACCAAGATACTGGTTTCATGCATTCTCCATCATAGTACGAAACTTCTGTTGTACATCCGCTTTCATATAGCTGGATAAGTTACTCGGTAATAACAAATAAGATTCAAAATCAACTTATAGGTTATGGGAATCTTTTGACTTAAGAATCTGCTTCCTCATTTCGTTTCATGTGAAGGATAGTGGTACAGGATGCAGAGAAGGACAAAAGAATTCGATTTCAGCTGTTTTTCTGCTGAATCCAGTTGGAGAAAGCTTGGAGGGTGTTCATGTCGGCTCGGTAATGCTTCTGAGTGAATTCAAGAAACATAGACCATGTAAAATCTGGATAAATTCTGGGGTTCTTTTCGTCCACTAGTTCGTCTGGTGGGCTCACTACCTTATCTTTTTTTGGACATAGAAAGAACGCAAGTGATTTCCTATGAATCTTGTTGTTAACCACAGCTCTATGTAAGCAACTTCTGTATTGTCCATTTGAAAGTGCCTGAAGAAGACAAATCAAGATTTTAAGAAAAAAAAACAAACAAACAAAAACTATAACTACAAAAAACCTAGTCATGGAGATTAATTTAAGCATAAGTTTAGTTACGAACCATGAATGTATCACCGATGTTTACTACAAAAGTATTAAGATTTGGAGCAATTGAACGCCATTCATTGTCTATGAACACTTCTAGTCCACCAACGGAATCTTGGTGAAGAATTGTTAATGATGTTGGATCGCAATGAGGGCCTGTTCCTAAGGTGAGGTCTGGTTTTTGGCATGGTGGATAGTAGTTTAGCCTCATTATGGAATCGTTTTCTTTGAAGAATTCCTTAAAGTGCGATTGCTCTACACCAAGGCTCATCCCCAGTAATTCCATGATTCCTAGTGAAAGTCTACTCATGGCATTGCAATATTCTTGGTAAACTTTCCTATAATGATGACAAGAAGGAAAACTAGAGTTAGTCTAAAGCAACTTTGAAAAGTTTATGATCAGAAAACGACAACATATATAAAGTTATATACCCGAGTCGAGCAAATTCTTTTCCCATTGTCTTCTCAAAATACTCCTCCACTATTTTGGATGATTTGTTTTCACCTGAGAATTGAAAAGAAAGTGTTTCTTTCCATGGTAGTTTAGAGGAGAACCTACCGGTGAAGCTGCTTGCATACCCACAGCTCTCACCTAGTTTTCTTTGAACTCTTTGTTTGTCCAAAAAAGGGAGCTCAAAGAATAGGTCCATGTACCTATGAGCATCTACTATGAGGCTTGCATCAACACCATGATTGGTCACTAGGAAGAAACCATGTTTCTTGCAAGCCTCACCAACAATCACGGAGGCTTCCTTGGCTGAACTAGCACGTCCAGAAAGAAAGCCTCGTAGGTCAACTAAAGGAACTGCTAGTTCCTTGGCTTTTTGTGAGTTGGGTTTCTCATGATCAGGCCATATAAACTGTTCGGGTATGCTGGTTTCATGTTGCAGGATCAAAGAATCAAAAACCAGTGGTTTCGGTTGGGCGTTTATGTGTTCTTTATGCAAAGAAGGCATATTGATCTTTGATCATGCAATATCTATTAATCTTGTACACTCTTTCTTTTATATAGAGACAGTGAGAGAGAGAGAAAGAGAAAGAGAGCGAGCTAGCAGTTGAGAGCTCGTATAAGTTTGCGGGATATGATAAAAGAAAAGCCAAGACAATTTATAGGGGCATTGGGTGACCCCAGAGTTTTGGGATTTTGTAGGCACACATCAGAAAACAGATTAAAATTAGTATAGCCAATTAGGAATATATTCAAGGTCTATTCGTCTTTTGGAATGTTGCCAGGAACGCTGTTCCCAATGGAATTTTGGCGTTTGCTTTGGGAGTGTAATCGCGCCCTCTTTAACCCTCTATCTCTCTCTCCCACCGTAAGATCCCATTTAACTGTTTAGGTGTTTTTATAAAATAAAACACTTATATTTGGCCTGTTTAAATCGGACAATTTGTTTTTTTGTTGGTTGCTCTGACCACAAATCAATTCAATTTTTTTATTAGAAAATTATTCTCTCCATCACTTATATAACTAAACAATTACAATTTTTTCTTAGTTTACTACTAACTTAAATAAATCCAATTTTTCATTAAAAATGTTACAATTTTTTATGCATTTTTGTTGTTATAATATTATAACGTAACATATTTAAATTAGGCTAAAATAAAATTTTATTAAAGAAAACAAATAAATAATAAACTAAAATACGCAAATTAAATATATAAATAATAAAATTTGGACGTTTATTTGTTGATAAAGTCTAATTAATATTTATTTGGTTCAAATATTGATGGTTTGTATCGATCAAATACACTTTAATTATAATTAACAAAGAACAAACTAACTAAGCATATATCAAACAGAAAAATAAAGAACACGACTAATCACAAAGATGTCTTTCATCAAGAAAAGAGTGTTCTCATAAAGAGAACGAATGTCATAAACACGGTCACAAAAACATTAATAAGAGTTTCACTCTAATGTTGATTATATAAAAGATTATTCTTTTGAATCCCTTCAATTAAGAGATTGTATCTAATCTATAATAATAACTTATCCTTATCACCAAGATATCGAATATGATATCTATTTTATACATATTCGTATAATTGCCTAATATACAAGTATTACATAAGATCATAATATTCACACTGACGGTGATACAATCTTGAGGCGTTGGCGTTGGTGCTGACGTTGGCGTTGGCGGTCAGCGTATAAAGTGTTTGAATCATCAAATCATAAGGTGTGACCTTACAATCTCCCCTATCTAATGATGTCAAAACTAATCTTCAACGAAGTCATCAAGGTCATCAAGATCATCATTTGAGAAATTTTCAGCTTCAACGAATACATCCCCTGAGATAATATATAACTACCCATATTTCGGAAATCAGCAGTAGCAGTAGCAGTAGAAACAATTAGTGTAGCAACCAGTGTATCATGAATCTCAACAAATATCTACTCCCTCTTAGATTTAGCTCCTTTTATCTGTTCCCCCTTAGATATATGTAAAACTTGAATCTTCATATGTTTCTCTATTGCCCTTGTTGTTATAAAAGTTGTATTTTGGTCCTTGTGTAGTACGCGGGGTGTACCACATGGTACGCTTAGCGTACAAGCTGTGAAGCGAGTACGCAGGGCATACCACATGGTATGCTTAACATACTCATGTGATATGGGAACGAGACTTCGGACACGTACGCTGGGCGTATATCTATGTACGCGGGGCGTACGTGAGACATATTGAAACCCTAATTTAGCGTGTTGCACCCTATATAAACACCTTAAGACCCTAGGGCTGGCCTCTTTACCAAACCCCAAACCTCCTAAAATCCTAAATCGTCCCTTAAGCTTTCTTGGTGGTGTTTTTGAGCCCATGAGAGGATTTTTAGTGGTTATTTATTCATTATGAAGGAAGCTTTGAATATTGAAGTTGCTTTGCTTGGAAGGAAGATCATAGATCCATAATCATCACACTTATTTCAATCTTTTTGGGGTATCAAGTTTATACATTGGCTTGTAGATGTTTAGATCTCCTTATAGCTTGTTTTGTTATGCTTTTGGTCCCTTTTTGGGTTGATTGAAGAGTTAAGACGTTTTAAGGGGTTGTTTTTTTAGATCTGAGTTTGTATTGGACTTCTTAAGCATAAAGGTGCAAGCTTTATGGGATATTTGGTCACATGCATGCATTATGTCACTTATTAAGTCCTTTTTAAGAGCTTCATTTAGCCATGCATGAATGTAAAGTTAGTAACTTTACGTGATAATTCAGCTCAAGGAAGTCAGATCTATGTATTGGAGCTTTCTCTTAAGGGATTAAGGTCTGAAATCAAGTTTTGGGCTGAATGGGTAAGTACGTTGGGCGTACAAGCAGGTATGCTTAGCGTAGAAGCCTTCAAGTCTGATGGGCTTCGCATGCTTGGGCTTCGTGCTTTGGGTTATCTTTTGAGCTTAGTTGCTTAGGGCCTTGTTGGGCCATCTGAATGCAGGTGTTTGGACTAGGAAAAATTAGTGGGCCTTAGGGTAAAGCCCATGTAGGGATTTGGTCCTAATTTGGAAAATTTGGCCATATGTGGGCCTTAGATGGTTAATTGGTTTTTGGGCCTTTTGGATTGAAAGTTTGGGCCTTAGACTTGGACCAAACTAGGTAAGGGGTAAAATGGTCTTTTTACCCTAAGTATGGATTGAAGGATATAGATTTGACTCCAATTATTAATTGGGTGTTATTTGATATTGATAGCTCGGGGATTTGTCGGACCAACAGCCAGGGATTATCAGTGTGATTCAGCAGTACGAGGTGAGTTTCCTCACTGTGTTTAGCGGGTCGAAGGCACCAATGCTGACCCATGATCTGTTATGTTAGAATACTCGTTGTCTATGTGACACTAGTATGTGTATGTGCTTGTATTCTTACTAGGCGGGGCCCGATGATTACTCTGTATGTTGTTACTTGTTGTGTAGTATGAATTGTATGTGGGCGGGGCCCGTTATGTGAGTTAGGGCGATGCCCATTATACTCATTGCGTGGGGCCCATTATGCGAGTTAGGGCGAGGCCCGTTATACTCTATGGGCGGGGCCCGTTATGTGTTATATGTATGGTATGCGGTACCTTGGGGAACTCACTAAGCTTTGTGCTTACAGTTTTTAGTTTATGTTTTAGGTACTTCCAGTTCCAAGGGGAAGGGCTCGGGATGATTGTAGAGCACATACCACCTCATTCCGCTTTTTGTGATTCACCCTGATTGGTATGATGTTTGACATATTTATTTTATTTGGTTTGTATCGATGATGTTTTGGAAATACTGACTCTATTAAATTAAAAATGAAATTTTTGGGTCTTATTTTTGGGACGTTACAAGTTGGTATCAGAGCCTTAGTTTGAGAGATTCAAACATACTCTTGGGTGTGTCTGAACTCAAACTGAGGATTTGGTAAGTTTTTCAAAAAGAAATATAGTTTTAAGAAAAGAGTTTTTTCTAAGATAAGAAAGGGTGTGGTGCATGCAATCAGCCGAGCTCAAGTAAGATTTCCCCAAATACCCATACATGTTATCTGATATGCTTTTATTTGTGAATCTGTGAATCGCATGCTAGTTAGGGCTAAAGATCTCCTTAGTTTTTGCATGATAGATTGCTAGGAGAGATGCCTTTGTATGCCTATTATATGAGCTTGTAGACATGCATTCTAATACTGATCAGTCAGTGATAGGATGGCCTGATTAGGTGATGTTTGGTTCTGATTACTTGATGCCTGAATGCTGCTTGCTTTGTGCTTCCTAGGAGTTCTAACTAGCTTCAGCTAACTAGTAAGTGAATATGCTAAGTTACATATTATGGGAACTAAATGATTTTAGAAGGTTAGGTTTTAACTCTATTGCACAGCCCTTGTCCGAGTCCAACCGTTGTAGTTTGAGACCTCTCATTCGAAAAATTATCTCATTTTAGTAATATGTAATTGCATCTGTGAGCTAGTTATAGGAAGTTAGCGGGAGTTCCTTTGCAGCTGATGGCGGAGAGTGGTGTGGTGTTTTCCCTCGGAAAACCTAGGATGAGATCTAGTGCTGGGAGCCTTATCTGTGAGTGGAATTTGTATGGATATAAAGTGACTTAGTGGAGTCAAGGAAATCTTTGAGGAAAGTACGGATAGATGTTGTAGTATGGGCCCGTACTACTGGAAGCAGATGATCCATACTCGATTCAAGGAGAGCTGCGATTAGGGGTGTAAGTGAGCCGAGCTACTCGGGATTGACTCGTTAAAAGCTCGACTCGAGATCGAATTAAACGAGCCTGAGCCGAGCTCGAGCCTAAATACGAGGCTTGTTTATTAAACGAGCTCGAGCCGAGCTTCAATTCATGGGCTCGCGAGCCTAAAAGAGCTTAAACGAGCCTATACACACACAGGCTCGTTTAGGCTCGCGAGCCCACTATATTGTTCACGATCCGAGCTCGAGCTTCATTTTAAGCTTCCTCAAAATTAAACGAGCCGAGCTCGAGCTTGGTCAGGCTCGGGCTCGGCTCGGCTCGTTTACACCCCTAGCTGCGATGACACCAGGAAGCTTGTGGAGTTGTGATCCCCGATATATATATATATATATATATATATATATATATATATATATATATATATATATATATATATTGATGCGTATTCTGATGGTTTATATGGTCTATTTTCAGTATGGTGACATTGAGAGGCAGACCTGTTAGCAGTTCTGGTGCTGGTGAGTGCTCAGGTTCAGGATCTGGAGCCGGGCAGCTTGATGAGCAGACTAGGGAGTTCATCTCGTCCGAGATTACTCATTGCATTCTTGAGCAGACTCATGTGATATTTGGCACGGACAAGGAGGGTATTCTGGAGATTATATATGAGCGGTTGAACTCGTTTCGCACTGAGATGATGGCCTTGATGGGGACACGCTCCTTTTCCTTCAAGGAGTTCCAGTCATGTGGAGCTCTAGACTATCACGGGGCGAGGGACCCGATAGTGGGCCGAAGTTGGTTAGCAGACATTGCTAA